TAACTCCACGCCAGAGACACTTCCAAACCTGCTGCTCCTTAGCCTCTGCTCAACGGAGCGGGTGCTCAGGATCCGTACATGCGGCACTCCAGCATCTCTCAGGACATCAAACATAGCGTGCTCAGCAGTAAGCGTAAAAGCAAGACGGCGAACATGTATGGCATGTGGTGCCAGGGTGTCGATGATGATGTTCTTCCATGCTGTGGCTGAACGTCGAAGTAAAACTTCCCAGATGTGAAGGTTTTCGGAGGGGTCGGGGAGGAGATGGCATTGAGCATGAAACGTCCAAACCCACTGTAAACCCTCAACAGTTTGATGTCCCCAAGACCTATGACATGCCATCCTGCACGTCATAGCCAGAGCCAGAATGCGTGGGGGCCGTGCATTAGAGGCCGTCCATAAAGCCGAAGACGTTGAGCGCGCAATGGGGCTCCCAGCGGGGGCTTGAGAACCTCACTCAAGATAGCCAGACTGTTGGGCGCCGTGGGGTCCTTGCGAGGCTTTTTGGCGATAGCCCGGTAGTAGCGCACCGTATCGTCCCCCAGGCTCCGAAACTGGGCCGCCGAGAGATATCCCCACGTGCTTGTTTGAAATAATTTGCCTGAACAGGCCAGAGAATCGGGCAGGACGATAACTGCGTCTGGTTATATGCATGGCTGGCGAAGGATGCGCCGCCGTAGGCATGTCCAGGCGCCGGCGCGCGACTGCGAGCGATGAGCCAGCTCGGGGCCCATGGAACCGTAATCATCTTGTGTAGTACCAAGGTGGGTGCACTGATGAACCGAATGGCTTTGAAGGGTACCCGTCTTCTCCGCGGGGCCTGGAAATGCCGCCTAAATCGGACCACTGGGTCTTCGTTGCACGCGTGGCCCCAGGGCCCAGAGACTGGGAAAGAAACGCCGATTTACCAACCTTGGCGTGCAAACAGAAGCCCTTCCCCGCGGAAGAATCTGCGGCTTTTGCCGCCAGCATCGGGGCAATGGTGGGCAGCTGCTGAGCTCTGCCGCGCAGAAAGATCACGGCGCCGCCAAAGGAAGCGCCCTCGAGGGAGCGCGCCATGCGGGCGGAGGTGTCCTCGGCAGTATACTTGGCGAGCGAAGCATGCGCGGCCGTCGGTGCACGTGGAACAATGCCGAGCGGTAGGGGGCGCGATGGCACCGGCTGCATCACAGACGACATGGCGAAGTTGAAACGACGTCCCCGAGCTGCTGGCCAGGACCCGAGCACATCATGAGAAACGCAACCTTGGAAGCGTTAGGTACATCAAACCATGACCCATTGCATGCGTCGGGGATCTGAACTCGACGGAGGGGGGGAACCCTGGAGACGAGGAGAGGGGGATGCTGCTTGATATACTCCTGCAACTCTGCCATAGCGGTTGGCGGGAGCCAGCTTGCCCTCAACAGCAACGCCACTAAACATCATCGCAAGCCGCATGCATGACTAGTTCCCGCACGCACTTGTAGCACGCCTGTACCACGTCAAGACTAGCAACACAGATGCCTTACGCGCCTCGGCCAGCTACTGAAAAAGACGCAGCTCGAGAGCCCCGAACTCTCTACCTCTGTCAGGGAGTCCTCCATGCTGACGTTCCCCCGCGGCAGCCTCTAGGGCCGGAATCACATCCCCTCGGATGATGTTGCGATGCCGTTTGCCGAAATGGGGGGGCCCAAGATGGAACGGTAACAAGCGCGCCTAGGAACGTTCCCTGGACTTGAAGTGGGGCCGGTACAAGCTTCCCTTCCACTGAATAGGCTCAGCGAGGCGAACAGTAGCTTTAACCGAGAGCGAATGCATGCATCGGGCCAGCTTCACGGCAAACGAGGAAACAATGTTGCCGGAAATACCATCGGGTCTTGGAGCCGAGGCTTTGGTTTTCCCGTGCGATGTTTCCAACTCGCCCATGGAAGGGATCTGATCAGCGGCCATCGGATCGCCCATGAGGACCTTGGGGGGCATCTCCGAGAGATGCTGGAACAAACCAGTCCAGGTCGGAAACAGGCACCACTGGCGCCGCCTCGTCTTTGCCAAAATGCTCGACCCAGGAGTCCGCGACATGTATGCATTGACGGAGTGGCTGGCCGTCCTGCCCACGTAACGGCAGGAGAGGCCGAGACGGAAGCTTGCGGCGAGAACTGGCGTCCATCGCACGTACTTGGCAAACGGAGTCCTTGACGTCTCATCAGGGCCACGCGCTGGAAACCTCCGCCGCCAGGCCAGCCACGTGCTGCTCGGCATCAAGCTTGATGGAGTGATTCACCACCGCAGTGCAACAGTGCGTACCCATAACACGCAAGCTGGTAGCCAGGTGGCCTATACGTAAGCACGAGTGCCAGCATCGGTCGAGCCCCAAGCAAGCCGACGAGGAATCGATGTGACCCCGCTCGTTCAGCATGAACACACCCGTGAAGTAGCCGTTGAAGGTGGCGAAATCTCCTCCCAAGAGCTGCACTCGCTCCTGTAGAATACCCCCAGGGAAGCCAAGAGTTGCCCTTAGCGCGACGGAGCCATAGTTGACGAGTCTTGTACATGGCGTCCTCGAGAGACCGAACGATCGACTGAATAACCCTATGGATCGATCGGAGGTGGCGAAGCCAACCCTGATTGGGACATCGTATGCTTCGCGCAGCGGTGCGCGAGCAGCTGAGGCGGCGGCAGTGCCGAGTGCCACGCAGAGGTAAGGCCCAGACGTGAAACAGGATGGCCAGACGCAAGCGCTTAAAGAGTACCACGAGCGTGCGGTAGCTTCGCAGGTGCACAGCACGGTTCTCCATGGCCTGTAGAGAACCCTCAGATACCCGAGACTGTCGTGGCATGCGACCTCTCGGGGTAGCCCCGGGCGGAAACGAGGGCCCCCGAGACTCCTTCAGGTGCCCCGCAACGATGGCGAAGCGAGCGGACGTGGGGGTGTCCAACGACGCGTAGGGCCCAGAACTCAAAAGCGACCGAAATTGCGATCGAGCTGCAGGGTTCGAGAACTTGTCGGGATCACACTTGACCTTCAGGGCCTGACCAGGGCGAAGACAGGTGGGTTACGTAGGAATACGCGCCAACATGCGCCAACATGCCAACAGGCACACCACGTCGATGGACAAATCAACCTTATCAATAACACGCTGCTGAACCACCTCCACCCCATTGGAGAAAATGGCGGAATCACGTCTGTTGCCCAACATCTGCAGCCGACCAGGAGGAAACCGAGTGCTCGCAGAGGGCTGGTCAGACTCCAAAAAACTGAGACGGTGCCCACAGGTCCAGTCTAGCCAGGTACCGATGGAGGCACTGTCCTGGGAAGTTCCCCACCGCAGCCGCGACGCACCCAACGTGGCGGGAGCGAGTGAACCCCGAGCGCGCATCCCTGGAGTGCGGACCCTGGCCACTAGTATCAAACCAGCGTGCCCACCATTGCTGGACACTCGCAGACGATGCCTTGCTGCGAGGTGCGTGCCCGGCGACCACGCCCAGACGAAAGCTGCCAACCGCAATGGCTACCACCAGCATCAAGCGGGAAAAAAACACACAGACACAATTAATCGACGATCCCCAGGAAAATATGGGAAAATATGGGAAATGGGGGGGAAGACAAAAATCCAAAAATATGCGAAAATATGGGGAAGTGTTTTACTTGTGTGTATTTATTTGTGTGTCCCAGGGCCCCTTCACAGCAGCCGAGGAGCGACGTGCAGTGCACGGCTCTGCACAGGAGGCGCGCGCGTGGAGGGAAGGACGGGAATGTCGGCATTGACCCAAAGCGAACGCCCCTACCTCCCATCGGAGGTGCACTGGGCATGAATAGCGTGGAATTTGCCAATGGCCGAAAGTCCACTGCGAGGAGAATTGGTTTCAACAGTCCCTTCCATGAGCCTTGCGTGCCTGGTAGACTGCTCCCGAAAGCATTTCATGCGTTCTGACGTGTGCAGCCCTGTCTTGCGCCTACCAGAGGCCTGCCCATGCGCCTGAGAGTCCAAAGTCGACACGTTGGCAGCAACAGACCAGCGAGGCGTGGACAAGGCAGGGGCAGAAGATTCAGTGACCGCGGCCGTGCCTGGCATGGCCGTCAAGAAGTCACTTGGTCTCGCACCAGGGACGCACTGTGGCATCTGGCGTTTTCCAGGCGGGGGGCATTGCGCGAGATCCTCAGGCTGCGCAGAAGACATCCAGACCCACCGTAACGCACTGATATCAGATATCGCCTCTCTCCAAGATTGGTCGGGCAAAGGTAGCCGTTCGTGCCGAACGGAGGCGAGATGAGCAATCGCGTCGACCAACTCGCTCCAAGGATGCCCAGAGTGGCCATCGACGTGCACCAACTGGAGGCCAGGGGCCCTGGCACCAACAATCTTGGCGAGCGAGTCCAGCGCGATACGGGGCCGCGAGAGAGTTCGAGAAAGAGCTCCGCCTGAGGCAACCCTGAGAGTTTCCACACAATCCCCATCGACGGCCACTGGAACATCCCAATCCAGACAAGGAGACTGCAGGAACCACGCCAAAGCCCATTGGGCTGCATATATTTCGGACGCTAACGGAGCCAGCGTGCTAGCAACATCATCACTGTCCAGTGTACCTCTGAGGTACCCAGCGAGGGTCCCATGGTCGCAGTCACCATAGAAAAAACAGCAAAGGACAATGCAGGAGGTCCGATACCAGCAGCACCTTTGGCCCCCCCAGAGCCATCAATGTACATGTGCATGCGGCAGACATCCCCCGGAGACTCCAGGGTACTGAGGCACGGTAGTTCAGCAACAGTAGTAGAATGCGAATACTTAGCAAGCGACCAATATTGCCTGGGCAGATCCTGCTTCCGAGGTAACAAAAGACGGTGGATGATGGTTTCGATGAAGTGTCGAGCGGGAGCGGGCAGTTCGGACAGCGTCGGACAGTAGGAGTGGAGGCTCCCCTGTCGTCCTGAGCAAGGCCCGGGCGCGAGGTAGTGGTGCACTCCGAGTGGGCGAGTTGAGGCGACCCGAGACCGGCATCCGCCTGCTGTACCTCGCTCCGGGCTAGCGAACGCTCGCCTCCTCGGCTGCCAGGCCATCGCCGCGGGCCGTGGCGTCCTTCATGGTGTCGTCGCTGTCGTCGCCCGCCACCTGGGCCGTGGTTGCCTCGGGGTCGCGGGGCAGGCACAATGACTCGTGCGGCGGCTCCGTGTCGCTGTCGGCATCCTCGGGCGCGCCTGCAGGTGCAGCTGAGGACGAGGTCAGAGCTGCCACTAGCTTGACCTGGCCAGGCAAGTTGGCCACTGCCCGCTGCCAAGCTTCCTGTCGTCTCTGGGCCATCGGCTTCGCTCGCGAGGCTGCTGACTTGGCTGCGGCTGGCGCAGCACTCGCAGCCGTCTCGAGCGGGGGCTCGGCGGTGGCGGGCCCCGACTGGTGCATAGCGAGCGTGGAGATGCTGCTCTTGACCTCGACGAGGAAGTCTGTCAGCATCTTCATCTGAGCTGCCAGTGTGAGCTGCGACGCCTGCAACTCCGCGAAGACCTGCGGGAGTTGTGTCGCAGGTTGAGCACTGCCTCCAGCTGGTGGGAGCTAGAATTGCTGGGGCACTGCTGGACTCGGACACGTCGGCGACGACGTGACCGCGGGCATGAACGGGTTGGGGCGGACATGCTTGAACTCGGACTCGGCCGCTTCCGCGAAGGCAGCCGACTTGATCTCCTGCTCTGCCATCTCGTCGAATTGAGACAATGCTGACTTCGCTTGCTGGAGGTCTTCTGCAAGAGTCTTGTGATGAGTTGACGCTGCTCGAAGGGCTGCTGCTGTCAACTTCTCCTCTTGCTCTGCTGCTTCGAGACTCTTCTCGGCCCGCTGCACATATGCCCGTTGGTTGGCAGCTCGTTTCTTGGCGGGGTACGCGTGCACATGCATGAACTGCAATACGCTCAGTTCGAGCTCGAGTGCCTGCAACTGGGTGGAGTCGGAGTGGAGCGACCGATGTGTTGAAATTCTCTTCTCCAT